ACCCAGGGGTGTGAGACCCCAAAGCCAGCTCTTGATCCACCATTCCTTCCTGCCCCCATAGAGCAGTTGGCTTTGTAAAAGCCCTGTAGCCAAATACTATCAACTTCCTAGCCTATTATGTGTGAGTGACTTATAAACTCCTGGAGTTTAACTCTGTTAAAAAGTTAGCATATTTAGTATGAATTGTATCAAAAGATCTAAAAAGAAATAGAGACTAAAATATTTATCCTGCCCCATGAAACATTCATGTTTTCATTGGCTCACATATCCTCCGTTCAATTTAAAAACTCCTGCTTAGCCTCTGTGTGCCAGGGACTGTGCCAAATCTTTGTTTACAATGACGAAAAAGGCCTGGTCTTTGTCTTTGAGGTGCTTTCAGTCTAATGAGGGACTTCAAACTTTAAAGTCATCAATTTCATCATCTAGTTTTATGAGTAAAGCAAAGATTCTGTGCATAGGAGACCGGAGTCCTTGCCTGGCCTGGAACGTCAATGAAGGAGCTCCTGAAAGAGAGATTTTGAGCAGAACCTTCAAGGATGAGCAAGTAGGTAAAGAAAGGCAGCAACAGGGCAAGGCAGTCATGTGCCAGCCAGTCTGAGGAGGGCAGAGCAGCACTGACTAGGATAAACCCATCCTCATAGAGAGAAGCAAGGGAAGCAGGACAGAGACTGAGATGGCTGTCATGTGGCTCCATCAGAGGAGGAACAGCTCTACCCCTGGCTTCCCCTGCTGCTAGGAAATGCTTTTCTTACAACAAACTCCCCTTGTCTTAAATTACAGTGGATTTGTGGTTCTCGCACCCAAATAAAGGAGGTCATTTGTAAACATGTTAACTCTGAAGTGCCCATGGGTAGAGATGGGCAGCAAGGGGTCAAGTGGATTAAGGGAGAATTTGTGATTAGAAAGATATGGCAGTATTCGGCTCTGGTTTTGAAACCCTCCACTTTCTCTCCATTTCTGAGCCAGCCTCGTTTCTCCTCCCCTCAGTACTAGTAGGTGCTGTAAAGACCGACAAGCACCACGAAGCATGAGGCTGCTCCTTTGACCCTATGAAACCACAGGAGTATCCTGCCCTGCCGGTGTCACAGGCCCGCGATGAGGATGGAACGCCATCCGAGGGCTTAGAAAAGAGAACAGACCTGCATGAACAGAAGGCTGCACCCCCATCTTCCGCTGGCAGCAAGTAGGGAGAAGGAAGAAGTCCAAAGGAAGGAGGAAACGCTACTTGGAGCAGTGCTGTGCAGACGGGCACTCGGAATGAGTGCCTTCCATGTGCTTCCACGGAGCTAGCACTGGGCAGGCATTCTCTATTTTTAATGCTCACAAGAGAACCATGAGGAAAGTATCATTATTCTTCCCACTTCGCAGATGAGAATACCGATTCACAGTGGCTCTAGGGACGGACCGCTGGGACTAATGATTGTTTTCCTGTCTCTGCTCACACCTGAACACTTACAGAAGGGACTGGCTACTTTTGGAGGCTTTGTGGTGAAAGGGGTGCTTGAGAACCACATTCCTGGGTCCGGTTCTCTAGGTCTATAGTTGTCCTTTGTTCCAATGTAGCCCATATGTTGAAATATTACACCATCTAAGTCCAGTAGTATCCCCTTATCTGCATAGGCTCCCTTACAAAGCCCCCAGTGGATGCCTGAGACCATGGGTAGTACCAAGGAACCATATATATACACTCTGGGTTTTTTTCTGTAACTATCATAAAGTTTAATTTGTAAATTAGGCATAGTAAGAGATCAAAAACAATAACTAATAATCAGATAGAACAATTATAACAATAAAATAAGGTTATCTGAACACAAGCAATACAATATTGCCAGTCAATCTAAAAACTGAGATGGCTACTAAGTCACTAAGGAACAGATAGACAGTTGGACACTGGACATAAGGATAATTTACATCCCAGGAGGGATGGAGCGGGATAGTGCAAGATTTCATTACACTACCCAGAACACTGCAATTTAAACTTACAAATTGTTTCTTTCTGGAATGTTCCATTTAATATTTTGGATAGTAACTGAAAACATGGAAATCAAAGCTGTGGTTAAGGGGGGAATTACTATATAAGGAAATGTTTACCAAAGCACCTCCATCAGGGATAGTCAAGTTAAAACAACAACTACAAAATTCAGAACAAAAACAGACTCCTCAAATGGCACATTCTAGCTATAGGACATTATTTTGTGGCTACTGCCTATCACCCTGGACAGTTTACAACAAATAAATCCCTTTTTTTTCCTTAGCAATGTATACTTGAAAGATGAATATAATCCTCAAAACTTCTCTTATCCAACACAAAGATTAGAAAATTTAACCTTCATCTTTTACCAAATATCTTCATCACTCGATAAAAAAAATTCCCTTACAGGAAAACAAAATTTTCACTTATGTGAAGTCTCATTAAAAAAAAAAACAAACCACAACAACAACAACAAATATTATATCATTTAGCTTTAGATGTTTAGAAATTGGTAATCCCACCTCTGTTTCAGTACTCTTTGGTCAATTAGTCTATTATCAAGGTTTTCAGCTGGATAGAAAGTTGGCATCTGCTCCCCTTGGTTGGCTGGACTGGAAGACTGTTTATCCCTGTTACCAAGAAAGAAGAGGTGGGTGAGAAACTAGTCAACAGGAGCCTCAACCATTGACATCACAGAAACTGTGAAGGTAGGTGGTAGCTCATAGTTAACATAGAATCTGTGTCTACTTCCAAGATCCACATTAGTCATGACTAAGATAACGGAAGGAAGGACCCTCTGGGGTCATCTCACTCAGTAGTTCATACATACCAGGAGACAGACTGATGCCAGTTCACAATGCTATTTTCACCAATTGGTCATATTTATAATGGTAGCAAGATGATATCTTCCTTTAAAATGACGGTAATAATAAAATGTACCTTTATTGGTTAATATTCTTATTTGGCAATAAAAGAAAAAGGAGGAGAAGGAGAAGAAGGAGGAGAAGGAGAAGGAGGAGAAGAAGGAGAAGAAGAAGTGCCAGTTTTTCAACTTTCTGTTCAGTGATTTTTCTTCCAGCTTTAACAAGAGCAACAACCAAAAAGCAGCTGCAAATATTCCTACCTATTATAGATTCCTAACATTTGCCTAAGTCTGAGTAGGATGCTAAAGTCCAGATGTGGCCTACAAATCCTTTTCAAAATAACATACCAGGCAACCATTAACCATTAAGGGAAATATGTGCTCAAGTTGAAACCCTGATCTTGAATCCCTGGTCTTGAATGCCATCATAGACCCTTTAGAAGGAGTCTTAAGCATCATTTATTCTATCTGCTTCCTTTTACAGTTGAAAGAAAAGCCAAGCAACTCTCCAAGGCTATATGGGTAGCTAATATCAGAACAGGTATTTGAAATCAAATGTTTTGATACGTAGCTACAGGGTTCTTTCTGCTACACCAAGTTTCCTACCTTTATTAAGCACTTCTAGAGAGGTTTTAATTAAATTGCATATTTTTGTGCCTCTTTCTATCATGATTCCTATGTGACAATATATTTGTCAAGTGACAATATATTTGACAATAAGCAAATAAGCTGACAAACATTTCAACCAAATATAACTAATAAGCCCAACTGCAACTGTGGTTTTGCACCAGAATAATTTAATCTGAATACAAGACAACACAATCCTTAAAGTGAATCACCAGCTTATTGGGTAGAGTGTAAAAGCCCCCCTCATAAATCCCTGGACAACCAGTGTTCCAAATCTTGGCTCCATTCGAAAAAGGCTTTCCTAACCAGGTTAGCAATGCTTAATATTTAACACAAGACTCTTTCGGTCTAGGATAAGAAAAGATTTTTCTCAAAAATTATGATACTCCTACCATCAGTGTGAATAACGGAGTTAGGTACTGAATGACTTTTCACAGCCCACAGAAGAAGCTGCAGGAATGTCAATATTTAACAATCAATCCAATTCAGTGGTAGAACCAGGAACGAAGCCCAGATTTCCTGGCAGTCCAGTGGTTCTCATTTACTAGAGAACATTATAAACGGATTTGCAGTGGAAAGAAACAAGGCTGTCTGTATACTTCCAAGTTGTGCTTAACGCCATATCAAGATTCCAGTCAACGGAAGAGAACTTCCAGCTCAAAGTCCAACTCATCCAAGAATGCCGGGAATTCACTCTGAGCTCTGTTTGAGGTTCTCACCCTCCCATTGCTGGAAGGAGTGAAAGCATGCAATGGGGCTTCATCAAAAGTCGCCTATGAAGAATGTGCTTTTGCATAGATATGCCAAAACATGTAGAATCTCCAGACTAGCTGTGGACCATCCCTTCATGCCTGCCCATCCTTCTCCATGTCCAAAATGTCCAAATACTCTAGAAATCAAATTACTTAAATGAGGTCTCTCTAACTTTGTATTGCTTATCAGAGAGCAAGACAAAAATATCGGTTATTAGAGTTGTAATCTGAAAAAAAAACTGAAGTAAACGCATAGGATGGATTTCAGCAAACATCACCATCCTATCTTTTAAATGAATGCATAATTGGTCTGCAGCAATTATTCAACGTTAAAAACTTTGCAAAAGGTCTCAAAATATGGAAAAACCAAATCAGGATGTCTGAAATGATCCGGGGCATAGATTTGTACAATGAACAATTTAACTTTAATTTAAAGTTCCTGTTATTCCTTTTCCTTGCAAAAGTCAGTGATAAAAACAAACAAATGAAAACATCCCTAAACCTCAAAGCCACCATAAGTTTTCTACATGATTTTCGTGGGATGCTATCATAGCCTTCAGCATTCCAAGAATACTCTTGAGAAACTAGCAATCCTTGTAGCAAAAGTCTTTTTAGCCAATTATTGTGAAGGCCTCTAGCAAATTATATGTAAAGACTCTAGAGGAGAATATAAATTAGCCACTAAAAGGAATCCTTGGCAAATAAACACACACATAAATAAACAGAGCAAAGGAGCAGCAAAAATGCCTTTCCCAAACCCTGATTTTAAGACCTGAAGGGCAGTGATCCATTTCTACTCACATTGTATGTACATTTCAACTGCTTGTTACAGAGTTTTCTATATAGGAACTCCTGGCTTATAGGACAACCCTAACAATTGGAGTCAGTGTTTAAAAAGTGGTGCATTTTTAAAAAATGTATATCTTGATTCATAAAACTGTGCAAAAAGTGTTCTTTATGCAGATGTTAGAAATACTGTACACACAAGCTAGCTGAAAATGGTCACAATTTTCAAAGAGGTTTAACCCCAAATATCATGCATCGAAAATGAGGAATTCATGCAGACTTACTCTGGGGCTGCTGCTGCTTGTATGACCAGAGCTGGTGCTCTCGGGCTTCCTGGGGACTCCAGTCCTTGACTTCTCTGCTTATATTTTTTAATTAAATCCATCAGAACCGCCTGGTGTCCAATTTTTTTTACCAGTTGCTGAACCATCCGATCATTAAGTGCTAGAAGAGCGGCCCCACTTACTTCTTCCTCTGGGAAAAAGAAAAAAAGAGAGAGTCTACATGCCTGTCTGGAAAAGCACTGGAAAACACGCCATTCTGAGCAAAAAATATATATATATTTCTGGTGTTACAAGGATCATCTACACTTGTCCTCTGGTGTTATAAAATGTTTTGTATTTTTAAAGATAGAACACTGATATTGCACAATTCCAAACTGATATCTAAGAAAGTACTAGAACATGGAGTCACAGAGAGTCTACATGCCTGCCTGGAAAAGCACTGGAAAACACGCCATTCTGAGCAAAATACATATATATATTTCTGGTGTTACAAGGATCATCTACACTTGTCCTCTGGTGTTATAAAATGTTTTGTATTTTTAAAGATAGAACACTGATATTGCACAATTCCAAACTGATATCTAAGAAAGTACTAGAACATGGAGTCACAATAAAATAATATTTCTTCCACATTTTCACCTTCCCATTTTTTATTCTTTCTTACAGGCATCATTTTTATAAGGAAAAAAAAAACCTTCTCAGGAAATTATTACCAATAGCACCTGCCACACAACATTTCAATACTTGTAAATCCAGCACTGCACAAAATGCCTGCTGCAGTATTTAAGGACAAAAGTGGTATCAAATTATATCAAGTATGTATGTTATGTAACTCTTAAGACTTTATTTTATTTGAGTTCTTTTTGAAATATTACAGTCTCATGTGAATACTAGATCAAATGCAAACCGTCAGTCAGGAAATGAAAGTTCCCCACAGCAGCAAGTCTACATCCCACTCACAGGCATTAGGCAACAAAAGCAATTATCAACAACAAAGGACACCCAATATCTAGGCTGCTCAATTAACATTTTTTTTAAAAAGTGTAAGCAACTCACCTTGAAACCTATGAACTAGCTCTCCTAAGTTTTTCTCCACCAACCAACTGCAGACCTGGTCAACCGACCAAGTTTCCATTGCTGTATCCTGTAAATAAATACACCTACAGAATAAAAGATCAGAGAAGGATTTAGTTTTTCTTTCTGATTGTTGTTTTATTTTATTTAATTTTTTTACCAACTGGCTCTCTAATCTCAGCTCCTTCCTTTGGGAGACTCTCAATTCTAAGCTTCTTTCAAATTACTGTTTTCCGAACACATATCTAAAAGATGCTAATAAAAATAAAAATTCTTTTTAAAAATGAGACCAATTTGAACCTATTTCCTAGTCTCGTTGCTCAAATTGCTCCACCTTCTCCTACTTTTTTTCCACAGGCATCCCTCAGCTGTACTAACAGGCAGCCACAGACTACTATGGTCCCCAATCCTCTACCATTAACACCCAGGGTTCTTCACAAAGAAAAGGAAGGTGTGAAATTCACCACTACTAGGCTCATCAGGAAGTGGTTGACATTTACAAAAGGGGTGGGCTGGGGAGGAAGGGAGGAAGGATCAGAAAAAAAGCCTGACAGAGATACTTAGTAAACCAAGACTGGTTAACCCCTTATGGCTCCCCAGCTAGCAGAGAGAGTTTACAGCCGCTTGGGATTGCTTTGGGTTGTTAGCAAGAGGAAGAAGTAGGAGCCAAATTTCTCAGCAGAATCTGTGTATTTCTTTCCCTTCTTCCAATTAAGAGTGTATTCCATTCAGCTCTAGAAACTTTATTAAACACCATGATGATTTTAAGATAACTAGGGAAAATTAATAAATTGAGAAAACATTTTTTAAAAATTTAGTTGGGCAGACTCAAAGTGGGAAAGTTAATATACTAATAATTGTAAGTGAAAGAAGTGCATACAGAGTTTAAACTAATCCTTAACTATTCAGGTATGTTTGCATGCCACTATTCTTCCTTAACCACTTAGAAAAATTAAAACAAGTCTACCAATTTCAATAATTTTTCCCTACTTCCCGTAGGCAGCTCATTCTCTTTTATTTTTTATCATTCAATTCAAATTATATTTAATGCACTGGGGAGAATCGGAAAAGAACCCAAAACATTTTAATGTTTTAATATTACTTTCAATTTCACCTTTCAATCAAAATGCTATACTACAGATTTACTTGTGCATAAAGACAGGAGAAAGCTACTCTTAGAGAAATGGAATCATAAGGAAAGAAAAAGTATTTATTAGCTCATATCTTTAAATTTTATTGCTAGAAGTTCTCTCAGTTCATATTGTATTTTTCATTTCTGTGTATTTGCAATTTCCACATCAGAGAGTGGTGAAAGGGAAAACATTTACCTTTTATACTTGACAATCTGAAACGATAGCAGCCTTCAAAATCACTTCCTAGAAAACAAGTCTAGTTCAAAGTAATGAGCCACATTCTCCTAAGTATTCACAAACGCCAAGTTGCAGAATTGAAAACAAGGGTTAAACACAGAAGAACGCCTCAGAGAATTGCAGCCTGGGTTTAATTTGCTCAGACAGCAGTGGCCACAGCACTCCTCCCCTAGGCTAAGCAGCGAGAGCAGGGTGTGAAAAGTCATTATTTGCGAGACTGGGGTGTAAATTAAAACTCACACCTTCCTGTCACACTTCTGGCTTCCTTGTGAAGAGTGGGGTTTCGTAAAAGAAAAGAAAGAAAAAAAGAAAACAATTCTCTAAACTCTAAGATTAAAAGGTATGCAGAGCAGAAGGTACTGCCCTACAGCCATCCAGGATAAATGGAAATTTGAGGGGAAAATAAATTCAAAAATAAAATGAGTACTTGGAAACCCTCTCATATGTTTTAATTTCCCAAATTTCTGCCTAATTCTACTTCTTTTTAAAAAAATATATTTTATTGATTTTTTACAGAGAGGAGGGGAGAGGGATAGAGAGTTAGAAATATCGATGAGAGAGAAACATTGATCAGCTGCCTCCTGCACACCCCCTACTGAGGATGTGCCTGCAACCAAGGCACATGCCCTTGACCGGAATCGAACCTGGGACCCTTAAGTCCGCAGGCCGACGCTCTACCCACTGAGCCAAACCGGTTAGGGCCTAATTCTACTTCTTAGAAAAACAGAACACTTATCAAATTATAACCTCATATAAACACAATAAGATTTTTTAAAAATATGTTTTTATTCATTTCAGAGATAGGAAGGGAAAGGGAGAGAGAGATAGAAACATCAATTGGCTGCCTCCTGCACGCCCCCCCACTAGGGATCCAGCCCTTAACCGGAGCATGAGCCCTGACTGGGATCAAACTGGTGACATCCTGGTACATGGGTCGACCCTCAACCACTGAGCCACATCTGCTGGGCCACAGTAAGATTTTTTTAAAAAATACTATAGTTTAAGAATATTTAAGAAATATTTAAGAAAATAGTATCCTCGGTAATGTAACTTTTTAAAGTAGCAATCTTGCAACTTCCTCTCACATAAATAATAGGTGTATTATTTATGGTTTTATGCATGATAAAGGAATAGAAGACATGTCAAATGAGAAAAGACACATCAGCAGCTTTACTGCATTTCCAGCAGTTTCAGAAACATCTGAAAAGATTTTGAAATGTGAGGACAGTATTATAACTAAATATTTTAAGACACAATAATATAAAAGGAAAAAAATAGTTAATAATAACATTATGTGTGACTACTCTAGCCTAACCATTCTCATTATTTAATTATATTATACTTCAATTAAAACGTTTGTATTAAATATTAAGGATTCTTATCTAATTAAAGCCAGGAGGAGCTAAGATTTTAGCCTAGGTGTGGGCAGAATTTATTTAATAAACGTCAGAGGAAGATAATAGTGCAAATTGCTGTGAATGCGGTTTATAATCTTCAAAAGCAATGTAGTTTATAACAACACTGACCCTGAGCACTTTTAAATAAAATATGAGAACATTTTGTCACTTTCGTTTCTGTTTGGAATTTTGTTTTTATATTTTTAGAGTCCAAAGGCTGAGACAACAAAAAAATTTCTAAACGCTTTGCTGGTGGTGTTACCAGAGAAATGAATGGGCCAGATTTCCCCAACACTAGTGGGGTTCTTGAGGCGCCTCTGAAATAACCTGTGTTTTCCGCAATGTACATTATTTGAGGATGAGTACTATTTCTTATCCAACCTCATATTTCCAGCACTTAGTACTATGCCTGGCACAAAGCTAGCCATCAATTAATGAGTAAATGCATAGCTAGTAAACTGCATAGCTAGGAACCTTAGTGACTAGTGAATGGCGAGTAAAACTGCATAGTAAGTAAACTGCATAGCTCCCTAGGAACTGCATCACCAGTAAGAGGAGAAGACGCTCCAAACAAAAAAGGGGTCAGCAACCTCACCACAGTCACAGTTTTAATGGTTATCAAACAGATTTAATGGCAGGCTCTGAAATGTAGGCAAGTTTCATGGCTGGAGAAATGATTTTGTTCTACTCATAACTCATAAGACAAGTACCTGCTCCTACAAACATGTTTTACAATAAGTAGTGACATGTTTAGGAACTAAAGTTCAAAATAAAAATGACTGTATGGTAGTATATCTTATTCATGTGGTATAAGCTGTGATGCAGAACCGTGTGGATTAAATTGCTGAAGAAGCCAGATGTATTTCCACCAAGTTCTCGGCGGCTCCCTGAGAACCCGAGGCTGAAGCTATTCTGTTGAGCCTGTCAGAAGAAGGGCATTATCCTGGCATGCTGCGCTTGGAGCATTTGTGTCACAGCCCAAGGGACTTCCCTGTGGGAATTTTATCTCCCAGGGAAGAAGGTCAGCCAAACCCTTTATGACACTGACAGTAATTGGACTGTCTCACAGTGAGTCCATGAGATCTGTAATCACAGGGGAGACCGAGCACAGTGTGTGGACCCAGTGCCCTCCTTCTCCCTGATCACTTTAAGAGCTTTCAGTTTCAAAGCCTACAGAGGAAATGACATGAGCAGAACTCTATCAGAGTCTGCAGCAACCACAGCCGTGGAACTCTTCCTAAGCTCCCAAAAAGGATCTAAGTCTACCACATTCCATTGGCTGAGCTGACCCAGAGGCAGCACAGGGAGGATGTGAGAACCTTCTTTATATTCCATCATCCAATTACTATTTGAAGTTCTCTGCATCCAAGGGAAAAAAATAGATAAGTGAGGAACAGAAGAGGGTAAAAAAAAATTATTCTTATTCAATTTTTGCCTACCATGGAGATGGCACTGTCTGGTTAGGAGTTTTGATTTGCACCGTGAAAGCTCCTAGGAGAGAGGAACCATCCCAAAATGGATACGTCATCTTGTGTAAAATCACTGATTACTAGACAACCTTAACTCACTGATTCATTGGTTTGATTGTTAATGATCATTGATGCTTTAAATTTCAAGCTCAAAATGGAAAAGATTTGATTTAATTTTCAGATTAAGGAAAGCTTCACACCATTTTCCCAGCAATCCAGTCAAGTGAATGAGTTCATCAATGATTCTGAGTTCAATGGAAGAATAAATGGTAAGTGCCTGCTCGAGTTTCTATTCAACAGCAATTTTGTAGGAAGGAATCACTTTAAAAAGCAAGACTGGCTGAACGGTGGCATTTGGCCTTTGGGGCTATGCTGATTTTTTTTTTTTAATCAAAACTCTGAAGTAGAATCACTTGATTTCTATGACCACGGAAGCTGACTTGCTGAATATAAGATTAACCTGGTGCTCGAGATGTCAAAAATCAAATTTATTTTAAAAATTAATTTTATGGAACATTGCTCCCTTATAAGAGCTAATTGCTTCTGCAGTTAAGACCAAATTCCTTTCAAAAAGAGGGGTTTGTGGGTAATCTTTATATGTCTCTACAACAGTGATTTTCACCCTTTTCATCTCATGGCTCATATAACTAATTACTAAAATTTTGCCTAGTTGACCAAAAAAAAGCATAATTCTGATTCATCTACATTGGACAGCTATCATTGTGTTGGCTGTTGTCATTTTTTTATTTGATAATCTAAGGGAAAAGAGATCAGTGTCCCTGACTAAATAAATAGTCAGGTACTGCATGTTTTAAAAATTCTTAGGGCATACCAGTTGAAAAATCACTGCTCTACAACATAAGGAAGGGGAAGGGAGAGAGAGATACATCAATGATGAGAGAGAATCATTGATAGGCTGCCTCCTGCACACCCCCTATTGGAGATCAATCCCACAACCCAGGCATGTGCCCTTTGAATTGAACCTGGGACCCTTCAGTCCTCAGGCTGACGCTCTATCCACTGAGCCACGCTGGCCGAGCTTATTATTTTTTGTGCCGCGCCAGCACAGCCAAGGGTGATCCTGAGTGGGGGTGATGAAAGGATTAAGAAAAGACAGACAAGAGAATGAAAGCTGGGTCTCGGTGGCACACTGCTCCCTGATGAGGAGGC